GTCTTGTTTTGAAAAGTGATTTAAGATTACCGAGATTCCTTTTTGGCCCTGGAGTTCAGTGTGTTATATACACTGGGCCTGAAGGAAGTCCTACATTTTTCTGGAGCATTTTTGCTAATATATTTGCCTGTTAGTGCAAGTTCATAGGTGTTGTTTATGTCTTGGGCCACAGCGATAACACTGTCGTAGATAAGATAGTCATAAGCTTTTGAGAACAAGGCTGAACCCACCAATGTAGTAATCATTTATTTCCAGGTGTGACGGGTTAGCCACATTCTGTAAACAAGCAAACTCGAGAAGAATTTAGTAACAAAAAAAAAAAAAAAAGAAGAATTTAGTGTTACCATCAGGTAAAACATAAAGTGAATGCACTTGATGGTCACAATCTTTATCTTCTTTCCAAGTAACTAATCACAAAGGCAGATAGCTTGCTATCTAATCAATATATAATTAATGCTGTTTCTATACCAGGAAGCAACTTTTCCAGGTTGGAGAATTTAAAAGACTTAGGGCTGCAGGGTGTAGCTTGGTGGTTGAACACTTGCCTAATGTATATGGGGAATGCGTTTGATCAACAGCACCTCAAAAATAAAGAAAATAAAAGATCTAGTGGGGCGGGAAACTGTAGTTTCTGGGGAACTAGAACTGAAATGTTTAGAAAAAACTGGGTCTGAGGGTGGTGGGAGAAAGGGCAGTGGGCACAGAAGAAGGGAACTGGAAGCCGGGGATATAGCTCGGCGGTACAACCGCCTGCCTGGCAAGAGCAAGGTCATGAGTTCGATTTGTGATACAGGAAGAAAAACCAACCAACCAAATAAACAAAAAGAACTGGGAGCAAGTAGGGCCCACGCCCATGCACCCCTTCTTACCGGAAGTTCGGCACGTAGGGTAGTGGGGGCGTTCCCACCGGAAGTGCAACAGGCAGAGCAGTGGGGGCGTTCCCACAGGAAGTGCGGCAGGCAGAGCAGTGGGGGCGTTCCCACAGGAAGTGCGGCAGGCAGAGCAGTGGGGGCGTTCCCACAGGAAGTGCGACAGGCAGGGAGTGGGGGCGTTCTCACCGGAAGTGCGGCTGGCCTGTCAGGAGTGGGGTGCGCTCTCACCGGAAGTGTGGCAGGCAGGTCAGAACGTGGCGCGGAGACAGGACCTGAGGTCAGCTCTGGGATCGCCAAGAGCCCTATCAGGAGAGGCGCAGGGAGGGGAGGGATCGAATGTGTCCGGATGATGAGCATCCACTGAGGCTCCGGCGGTGGCCCTGCTCTCCATGTGGGCCCCTGGCAGGGGACGCCCCATTGCAAACGTTTGTGGGCCCTGAGCAGTCTTGTCCGCCGGGAGACAGGAGAGGTGGGAGAACGCGGCCAAGGGAGGGACTCGCGCGGGGAAGCTGAGCAGCTAGCAGTTCGCAGTCAGCAGAGGAAAAACCAAGCCGCGAGCACAGGGCGCGGAGGAGCGGGGAGGCGCGGGGCGTGAGGTGTTCCAGGAGGAAAGGGAAGGCTGCAGGGGTGAGGTGGGGTCAGCGGCCTTTGCGTCTGTACCCCCAGTGTGGGGGGAACTGGAGAGGCTGGTGCAGGGTGTGGCCGCACTGCCTCTGATCCCAGTGCTCTTGGAGGCTGAGGCAGGAAGACCAAAGTCTCGGCAAATTAGCAATTCAGTGGGATCCTGCCTCAAAATAAAAAATAAAGGATTGGGGATGTAGCTCAGTTCCCTAGATTCAGTCTCCAAGACTGGAAAGCAAGAACCAAAACCAAACCAACAGACCCCCCCCCCCAAAAAAAAAACAAAACCAAAAAACCCCTAGCCATCCAACCAAACAAAAACACAGAAATCTTCACTAATATATCCTCTGTTATACCTAAGAAAAAAATAGCCGGGCGTGGTGGCGCAGGCCTGTAATCCTAGCACTTGGGAGGCGAAGGCAGGAGGATCGTTGCAAGTTCGAGACCCGCCTGGGCTACAAAGTGAGCTCAAGGTCAGCCTGAACTGCACAGAGACCCTGTCTCAAAAAGACAAGAAAAAAAGAAAAAACTGCAGCATTTTTGGGAGGCTAGAGCAGGAAGATCACTGCAAGTTCAAGGCCAGCTGAACTACATCATGAGACCCTGTCTCAGAAATCCAAATAAGTAAATAAATAAAAAGGAAAGAATGGCAGAGAGGAGAATACAGGTGGGCTCATGAGCCTGAAGTGAAGTTTGAGAGGAGGAGGGGAAGGAAAGTAGGACAATGGCTAGGTGTGGTGGTGCACACCTACAATCCCAGCACTTGGGAGGCTGAGGCAGGAGGATTGCTGCAAGTTCAAGGCCAGGCTGGACTACATACTGAGTTCAAGGCCAGCCTGAATTAAATGGTGAGACCCTGTCTCCAACAAACCAAAAAAAAAATAAACAGAAAGCAGGACAATGGGTAGTGAATGAATTGTTTCCTCTAGAGAGGAATGGGCCTGGGGAGCTAGGGAACGGGGCACGGGAGACTTCTATGGCCACTGACTCTGTCCATGACCTTTTGTAGCCACACCCAGGAGCAGGCTGAGAGGCAGCACCAGCGCCTCAAAAATAGAGAAAATAAAAGTGGGGCAAGAAACTGAAAAAAAAAAAAAAAAAAAAGGAAACTAGTCTGGAGAAATAGAACAGAAATGTTTAGGGAAAAGCGGCTCCCAAAGCAGCACAAGGACGGTGCGTGCACAGGCGCCAACGGGCCGGGCCACCTCAGGGAGGCGGCGGGGCGTGGCTGCCCCGCAGCAGCGCAAGCTCACCGCGGTTCTGCGTTCCTTCCGGCGTTACTTTGGGTTCTGCCTTCTCTCCTACCGGAATCTCGCACGTTTGCTATGTAAACAGTCAGAAATAGTAGACTTTGAGGGAATAAAACGTGGGAGGGACTTTACGATGATGATCTCATTTTGCAGACGAGGGCGTTCAGCCCCAGGGGGAAGTGACTTGCTCAAGGTCTAGCAACCAGACGGAACCGAGCTGAGGTGCTCAGGCTCCGGCTGTGCCTGCTGGGCTGGTCCCCCTGCGGTTCCCCGAGGGCGGGCACAGAGGCTGGACCCCCCCCCCCCCACAACCCCGAGCCCGCGGTTAATGATTAAACCCTGGTCTGAGCCAAAGCTTCTCAGCCATGGTTACTAAGTAAGCCATTTTCTGAGCAAAACTGACAATTCAAACAGGACAACTCTACGGGCCTAGAGATTGTATCAGCATAAACTGTACAATGACAGTATTTCAAGTGTATTTAAGTATTTCATAATACAGTAACTTAACCTCTCTGCAGCTTTACATGTTCTCTTCGTTGCAGTCTGCATGCTGGGCCCTGACACAACTTTGGGAGAAGCACTGAAAATAACTCCACTTAGTGTTTGAGGGAAGTAGGTAATAAAATCTGTTTGCTGTGTTCGCTGTCTCCAGATAGGGCTGTAATTACACCGCAGAAGGAAGAAAGGCGGCCGAGTCTCAATCTAGATCATTTATGTAAACTCAGCCTTCTTGTCAACCGCGCTCTCACATTGCACGCGCGCAGACCGCAGAGCTCATCTCCTGCGGACGCAGAGTGGGATCCCAGGGTGGGACCGCGGCCGAGCGGCTGCCTGTGCTCCGTCGATGCGCGGCTGTGGGTCAAGTCCCAAATCTGACATTCTGAGGTGAAAAAAACCTCTGACCAAGGAGCTCTCCAGTACAACAAAAACCACGATGCGCAAAATATATTCATATCGTATCTATAAAATCACAGACCACATGACACACAAAGAAGGTACATTCCCGCTAGATCTCAGGCCCTTCCGCCCCATGGCAACAGTACAACAGTACAACAATCATACTTCCAGAATTTGTAAATATTAGAGGTCTTCCCTAAATCAAAGTGTCACAAATAAATACATCTCACTTGAAAAAAGCTCCTTTTTAATTAGAAAAAAACCCCAGACATTTGGTTCGTTGAAATGTGTTTGGAGAGGGGCTGGGGATTTAGCTCAGTGGCAAAGCGCCTGCCTGGCAAGCGCAAGGTCGTGAGTTCGGTTCCCGGTACCGGAGAAAAACAAAACAAACAAACAAACAAAAAAAAATGTGTTTGGAGAAAAAACAAAAGATCTTCAAGAAACAAAAAGATCATTTCTAATATGGCCACATTAACGTGTGATAACATTTTAATGTATTTCAAATATTTGGCAACTTTTCAGCAATACCCCCCCCCCCGCAAATATTACAAAAACCACGATGCGCAAAATATATTCATATCGTATCTATAAAATCACGGACCACATGACACACAAAGAAGGCACATTCCCGCTAGATCTCAGGCCCCTCCGCCCCACGGCAAGCTGGGCACCGGCTTTGCTTTGCCAGCCCTCCCCGGCTGGTATGGATAGTGTTTGTCCAACACCCGCCGCTGTCGGCTCGCTCCGCTCTCTCTAGAAGGAAACCACAGGCCACCGCCCTGGCGCCATCCCTGGCCCGGTCCAATCAATAAGGACTTATTTCCTGTCCATTTGCTGAGGTCGCAGGAGTGAATCTCATTAATTATTTCTGTTACTGCAGCCTCAAGTGTGCTTCTGGCGTGACAAGTGAAAACTGCTTGACCTTTTTTTTTCTAATTTTGTTTGCAGTTGATTCCAGAAAGAGGGCAGGATTCGTTTAGCAATGTGCTAAAAAGGAAGGAAAAGATATGTGTATGTTCTTAAAGTCATTAATGTATTCCGCTATTTTGTAACAAAAGTGCCTGGATCACCTCATTCCTTAGGTTTTTCCGGCTAAGGAATAACAGTGTCTTTTTAAATTCGGTGTCATGAAAATCTGGTCACTGCAAACACGATGTTTTCTAAAGCCGATCTGGCCTCCGAGGGTGGGAAGCTCTCCAGGGCCTCCAGGGCCTTGTTTCCATGGTAACGACACAGGTCAATAGCTGAAGTCACACCTTTGCCAGCTTTGATTGTTTCTCGCAACTGTTAAGAAAAGAAAAACGCACAATAAAAGCCAAGTTTGTAGGTTACAGTAAGGGCTACAATTAAATTGGGGGGCTACGCAGGGAAAAACTGTATACTTAGTATTTCTGCTTCATTATTTTGAGGCGTTTAAAGAGGCCATCATTCCCCAGCAATCTCGAGGCGCGACTGCTCCCCAAAGCTGTTTGTCTCTGCGCTCCTGTCGCAGCACAATAGGCTCCAATCAGCCTAATTACACCTCCCGCCTGACTCCCCCTCCTGATAGGCTGAGGTGTGTCCCCGGGGTGAAGGTGGAGGGCATTTACAGCTCTGGCACTCTGAACCCAGCAGCCTCGTCTTAGTTCATAACTTTCTTTTAAAACACCACGTTTTTATTTTATTGTAGGTTTTTTGAGACAAGATTCTGATAAGTAGTTTCAGGCGGCCTAAGCAGTCCTCCTGCTTCAGCCTCCTGAGTGAGAGGATTACAGGCCAAATGCTGCATGTTGACGTAATAGTTTATATAAAGATTCAAGAAAGACACATCCTGTTAGACCTGATTGGGTATATTTAAAAGTTTTTATTTGAGAAGAATGAACCAAAACGCCCTTTCTAAAAAACACACTCTTGCGGACACACGAGGCTGACTTCTCACCCTTCCTTGGTCACAAAAAGGATCAATACAATGGCTGCTCATCGGAGCCGGAAGAACTCGCAGCTGCTTAGCCTGCCTGCTCTCCTCCGCCCCCGGCCGCCTCTCCTTCTCAGCCCGCGCCTCCCCTCCCGAGCCGGAGCGGGGAGTCTCTGTCCCCCGGGATGGAGGCCGGGCAGAGCCAGGTGTGAGCGGTGCTCTGTGGCTCGTGGACCGTGAACTTTGGGCTGCAGCACTGATCGGTCCCCGTGGGTCCCTGTCAGCTCCACCCCGGTCTCCGAGGGGCTGCAGTGAGTGTCGCGGGCCTCTCCCTGTCGTGGGGCAGGAGCCCTTCTCACCGGGGTCAGGGAGTCTGTTCTGCCGCCCTCGCCCTCGGAGCGCTCGCGGGTCTGCTCTGCTCTTCCTTCCCACTGCCGCTGCGGTGTTTCAGGCTCTCCCCGCCTCTCACCTGCCTTAGTTTGTGCAATCGCCTCCTAAAGAATCTTCCCACCATCAGTTCTGTGCCCCTGGACTCCAGCCATTACACACACTGCCAAGATCGTGATGAAATGCAAATACAGTCTTGTTAGAAACCCTTCGGTGCCCTGCGGTAGTGCTGAGAGAAGAGCCCCTGCTCCTTCAGGAGACACTGAAGCCCTTTCTGCAGCGGAGCTCTTGACGATCTCCATCTTCCCTGGCTCCCCTCCTTTCAACAGCTCCTTAGAGGAGCTGGCTGCAGTCCTTAGAGCTGACCTGCTACCCCCCACTGTCCTTCCCTGGGGCTCCCGGAGCCCCCTGGGCATACCTGCAGCACAGCATTATTACTTAGTGTTGTATTTTAATTTTCTACTCACTCTTCAGGAGGCTTTACGCTACTGACTGCATGGGGTTGGGGATTTAGCTCAGCAGCACAGCGCCTGCTTGGCAAGCGGGAAGTCCTGAGTTCGATTCCCAGTACCCGAACCCACCCCCTCCCGCAAAAAAACCCCCCAAAAACACAACAACTACTGACTGCATAATGCACGAAACAAATAAATTCGATGGTTTATTCTCCTGAGATCAGGACAGTGAGTCAAGATCACAGACACAGATACATATGAATTACTAAAGCTGAATCAAGAAGACATAAAAATCCTAAATAAACCAATATCCATCAATGAAATTGAAGATGTAATTATAAACTTACCAACAAGGAAAATCCCAGGCCCTGACGGATTCACTGTTGAATGCTACAAGAAATTCAGAGAAGACCTAACACCACTACTTCTCGAATTCTAATGAAATTGAAAGGGAAGCAGTACTACCAAATTCATTCCTGGAAGGAAGTGTTACCTTGATACCAAAACCAGAGAAAGACCCAACTAAGCTGGGCGTGGTGGCACACGCCTGTAATCCCAGCACTCGGGAGGCTGAGGCAGGTAGATCCTTGCAAGATTGAGACCAGCCTGGGCTACAAAGTGAGTTTAAGGCCAGCCTGAACTGCGTAATGAGACCCTGTCTCAAAAAAAAAAAAAAAAAAAAAAAAAAAAAGACACCCAACTAAGAAAGAGAACTACAGGCCAATCTCCCTAATGAACATAGATGTGAAAAGCCTCAATAAGATACTGGCAAATAGAATGCAGCAAATCATCAAGGAGATTATACACCATGACCAAGTGGGATTCATCCCAGGAATGCAGGGATGGTTCAACATACCCAAATCAATCAATGTAATACACCATATTAACAGAGCCAAGGACAAAAATCACATGATCATCTCAGTAGATGCAGAAAAAGCATCTGACAAGTCCAGCACCCATCCATGATAAAAACCCTACAGAAAACTGGAATAGATGGTCTTTATCTCAATCTGATAAAAGCCACCTAGGACAAACCAACAGCCATCATCATACTAAATGGACAAAAACTGAAAGCTTTCACTCTAAAATCAAGAACAAGATAAGGATGTCCACTGTCTCCACTCTTGTTCAACACAGTCCTGGAAACTTTAGCCAGGGCAATTAGGTAAGAGAAAAGAATAACAATTGGAAAGAAAGAATTTAAACTATCATTATTTGCAGAGAACATGATACTCTACATAGAAGACCCCAAAAAACTCCACTAAAAGACTGCTATATTTAATAAACAAATTCAGTACCATAGTGGGATACAAAGTCAACACTCAAAAATCAATAGCATCTGGGCATGGTGGTGCATGCCTGTAACCCCAACACTCCAGAGGCTGAGGCAGGAGGATCATCATGAGTTTGAGGTCGGCCTGGGCTACAAAGTAAACTCAAGGCCAGCTTGAACTGCATAGTGAGACCCTGTCTCAAAGACAGAAAACAAACAAACAAACAAACAAATAAAAAATCAATAGCCTTCCTGAACATGAATAACAAACTCCCTAACAAAGAAATTAGGGGAACAACACCTTTCACAACAGCATCCAAAAAACTGAAATACTTAGGAATCAATCTAATGAAGGAAGTAAAAGACCTCTACAGTGAAATCTACAGTACTCTTAAAAGAAGACTGAGGCCGGATGTGGTGGCGCACTCCTGTGATCCCAGCACTCGCGAGGCTGAGGCAGGAGGAACATTGTGAGTTGAACACCAGCCTGGGCTACAAAGTGAGCTCAAGGCCAGCCTGAATGGCATAGTGAGACCCTGTCTCAAAAAAAAAAAAAAAAAAAAAAAAAAAGGAGGCTGAAGAGGATATCAGAAAATGGAATGATATCCCTTGTTCTTGGGTGGGAAGAATCAACATAGTGAAAGGGGCCATACTTCCAAAACGGTTATACAGATTTAATGCAATTCTAATCAAAAGTCCAATGCATATTTCACAGAATTAGGGAAAACAATCCTACAATTCATTTGGAACCAGAAGAGACCTAGAATAGCAAAGGAAATTCTGGGCAACAAAGGCAAGGCAGGGGCATCACAATCTCTGACTTGAAATTACACTATAAAGCTACTGTGATAAAAACAGCATGATAGGCAAAAAAACACCCAAAGATCAATGGAACAGATTAGAAGATGTAGAAACAACTCCACACATACTCAGCCACCTTATCTTTGATAAAGGTTCCAAACACATTCACTGGAAGGATAGTTCTTTAATAAATGGTGCTGGAAAAATTAGCATTTCACATGTCAAAAATTAAAATTGGACCTATATCTTTCACCATGCATTAAATTCAAAATGGATCAAAGATCTAAAAATTAAAACAGAAACATTAAATCTGCTGGAAGATAGAATTGGTAAAACACTTGAGCTCAGGCTGGTCTTGAGCTCACTTTGTAGCCCAGGTTGGTCTCAAACTTGCAACGATCCTCCTGCCTCAGCCTCCTGACTGCTAAGATTCCAGGCATGCACTACGATGCCCAGCTTAGAGTCTCATATTATTAAAAAGCTTTTGCACAGCAAAAGAAACCATCAACAGGGGCTGGGGGTTTAGCTCAATGGCACAGTGCCTGCCTGGCAAGCATAAGGTCATGAGTTCGATTCCTGGTACTGGGGAAAAAAAAAAAAAAAAAAGAAACCATCAACAGTAAAGAGACAACCCACAATATGGGAAAAACTGTTTGCCAGCTGTTCCTCAGACAAAAGATTACTACTGAGAATATATAAAGAACTCAAATATATAAAGACCTCTCAAATTTAAAGAACCATTCACAAATGGGCATCTGAGATGAATACACATTTCTCAGATGAAGAAATACAAACAGTAAGTAAATATACGAAAAAATGTTCAACATCACTGGTCATTCAAGAGATGTAAATTAAAACAACACTGAGATTCCATCTCACCCTGGAAAGAATGGCTAACATCAAAGAATCAACAAATAACAAATGCTGGAGGGGCTGTGGGGAAAAAGGAACCCTTCTCCACTGTTGGTGGGAGTGAAGACTGG